TGCTGAGCAGGGAGCCCGATGCGGGACTCGATCCCAGGACTCCAGGATCATGACCTGAGCTGAAGGCAGTCGCTTAACCAACTGAGCCACCCAGGCGTCCCAAAACCCAACCCTTTAAATACCCTCTCTCAGCATTCCATTACCTCAGTTTTACAGTCTTTTCCACTGTACTACGGAAAACAATCATGTCATTGTTATTATCTTTGAAAATTACCAAAAAGACATCGCTTAGAATATGAGTTCTGGAAAACAAGTGCTCCCCTGACCCCTCCCCAGCTTCCCCTCTGATGGACGGTGTTTGTAATATAAGGCCAAGATAGTATTGTTGCTACGGTTATTCATTTCAACAGTCTCCAGAGAAAAAGAACCGAAAAATCTCCTTTTACAGTCTAGTGTCTCTACAAAATTACCCACAGCACTTACATAAGTAGAATTACCTTGCTTCTTTTCCGTGATCACCGATAACTCTGTCATCACGACCAAGGTTTCTAGAAGATATTCGTCCCAGTTCCATCTCAATTTCCTTATTTAATCCTTCCATTCCGTGTGCCTGAAAGCAGACACGATGGCGAGAATAACCTGCAAGTTGCTCATCAGCACCAATTCCAGTAAGAACTACCTGTAACAGTTTAAAGAAATCTGTACTTCCAACATAAGATAAAGAAAATGACAAAAATAAAAGCAAAGCTTAAAAAGTTACCATCTCAAAAATAACATTTTCTGACAAAAACACAAGGATAGTCATAAAATAGTAAAAATATGCCCAATTTTTGTCTTATACATCGCACTGTAGATTAAATGCAATTAAAATATGCTCTATTCTTGCAATATAAATGCTAATAGCTTTAAAGGGTGAAAATGAGGGCTCAGAAATTCTGAGTACAGTGTGTCTGCCGTGCCATACCTTTGCACTGCTCTGATAGGATTTCACTTCATCCTGGGTCACTAACCAACCAATTCCTCTAGAAGCAAACCAGACTGCACAGCCAATGCTATCATCCAACACTGTATCCAAGGGCTGAACCAAGTGGCATATTCGAGTTCTTCTTAATTCTTGCAGTTCCTCCAGAGAAACATTAATTTCAACGAAATTCCAAATCCGGGAAGGGTTAGCAGCTTGTAGTTCCTTTAGTCCCATTCTGCCTGTGATACGATCTGGTACACTGAATTGTTTATCAGGACCATCATCATCACCACCAGCAGCATTATTTTTAGAGAATTCTTCAGAAGATATTTCACAATGACTTTTCTGTTTTTTCCTCTTTGTGTCAAAACCAGTTAATAGGGTCTTTTCTTTAGTCATGAAAGCCACATTAAGAAGATCGATTGGTTCATCTAAAGGTATATGGCGGTCAGCAAGGGCTGCAATAACCATGGAATCGATACCCCCAGAAAACAGGATTGCAACGTTTGCTTTCCTATCACAAATTTTCAAAGCCTCACTTGGTGTCAGGTTTTCATCCCTAGGTAAACACAAGACACGTCTCCTCACTGCGATACTCAGGACATCAATGAATTGCTGAACTACTTCCTTTGTGTGTCCATCAGTAAGAAAGACCTGAAGTGTTTCCCTTGTAGGAGGGACACTAGCGGTGTTACTGCAAGGAATCTCAAGGGGAGCTTGTGGTAACGTCATATTTAAAGGAACAACAGGTTCTTTCAGATACAGTTTGGCTTCATTTGCTACCACTGATGCAAATGCAGGCAAGTTTGCTGAAATCTGAATCAGGCTATTAACACATTCTTTGATAACATTCTCCCCAGAAACAGATTTCCAAGGGTACAATTTTAAAACCACAGATTTGGAAATGGAAGCAGACTTGAGATCAATTCTGAAAATTCCAGATGCTGGAACTTCTTGCCACTGACTGCCCACTCCGGAGGTCTGAACGCCAACTGAAGAGAGGCAGAAACTCTTGCCCAAATTACTAAAATGCCAAAGCAGGCTACGGCGACCAAAAAAATCTCTACCAAACCATAGATGATGACTGGACGCTTGGTAATATATAAAAGACCAAGGACCTCGGACTTCTGAGAAGAGCGACAAAATATCAGCTTCATTCTTACAAGAGGAAAGGTAATTAAACATTATTTGAGTATCATTCTCTTCAGCTTCGACCTTTATGCCACTAAAGACTTCTCCATTCCACAGGAACACATCACCCCTTTCATCTTCCACAGGCTGGGCAGTCAAAACACCTCTTAAGTGAAGGACATGACCAGAAAATAAACACTGGTAGCTAACACTAGACTTTAACAACTGTTTACTACTATTGGGTCCCCGTCGGTTAAGATTATACAGTAAATCCTCTTTCAAATCTTTGCTGAAATGCTCAACAGAAAAGCTTACAGAACAACAAATGCCACACATTGTTGTGTGAAATCAAGTTGACTATTTCTTGATTTTGGTCTTCTCTGAGTTTTCTATTTCTTGGTATTCTTTTTTCAGTTCATCCAGTATATCTGTGGGGGAGGGGAGAAGAAATATTAAGTAAAATGAAAATTCTTAGACCCTTCCCTGGTAATTCATACAGCAACATAGGCTATTTACCAAGATCAAACCACCTGAGTATATGCACTGTGTTACAACAGGCTTCTAATGACAAATGTTTATCTTTTAGGAAAATAATCTGTTTATCAAATGCTTATTTTGGCCCAGGCACTGGGCTATGGGCTAACCCCTCTTGTTTAAATCCCAAAAAACTTTGGAGGCTCAAAGTTATTCACTCAAAGTCACAAAGGGAGAAAGTGGTAGAGCAGTTCTCGCACCTAGACCTGCCAAAAATTCTAAAGCACACATTAATAATTATGGCTTTCTAACACAACTTATATATTTTTATTTTATTTTATTTTTACTGTAGACTCATCTTTGGAAGGCTACCTTGAAGAAAACCCAAACCACAGCATTAATTTTACTTGATATACCACCATCCAAGCTTCAGATATATATTTAAACATTCAGATATATACAGTATAATTTAGGCACTACCATGAGTTTCTACAGAAAGCCTAGAAAAGACTTTTCATGCATTTCTATATAATATACCAAAAAAAACCACCCAAAAAACTTACTTTTGCTTTCAGAAAGCATTTCTGTTCGGTCTGCAAGAAAGAATATGTTGCTGTTCTGTTGCTGCCTATATACTTTCTGCAAAACATAATTTAGGCTAATATCAGGATTCGATCTAAAAAGTATATGTCAAAACTCTGAACTCTTTTATTGTATATTCTTGAACTTCAATAACATATATTCAGAACAATACCTTAGCAAATACAGGTAAACAAAAGTCACCCATTATCTTACCATCTAGAAACTGCTACCATTAACACTGAGGTGAAATGTATTTTCTCTGCATATATCAACTATCAGTTTCCGTGAACATTACAGGTTATTTGATAAGTCCTCAAGTTTTAGACATTTAAGATATTACCAACTTTATAGATCAATGTTGCAATGAAGTTCTTTGTAACTAAATCTTTGTTCACTCTCATGACTCATAAATATCAATTCCTATAAATGGAACTGGGTCAAAGTGCTACATAGTTTTAAGGCTTTGATACATTCTGCCAACTTGCCCTCTAGAAAGTTTGTGTCAGTTGTGCCTTAAATTCTAAAAGGGACAATATCAGAAATGTTTAACCAACCTGTTACTTATCAAATGCTTTAAAGGGCTCAAAATCATTTCTTCCTGAACTTTAAAATGTAATTTTTGACAGTATAAGTACACATAAAGCAGTAGCTTGTTTATGAATACATGAATGCACATGGCATTAAATTTGGATGATTTGTGTAAAAAAATTTGGGGGGGGAAGCAATTTATCCTTTTTGTTTTTTCAACAATTATCCACATTCATTTTAAGGCAGAGTTTCCTTTCTTAATATATTTAATGGTTATTTATTTCAAAAGAAAACACCAAATTCAAGTATAAGTCAATACCATTAGTGATTACAGACCCAAGATACCATTGTATAATTAGTATCATTTGGTTCAAAGGTAGTGCAAATTGCATATGATGAGAAAAAAAAAATTATCAACTATAATTAACATATAGATATCCACTATGTGTATAAAATCTTGGACACTTTTCACTTTTGCAATGGAACTAAAAAAGATGCTGAAGTTTTGCAAATTTTAATGTAAATATAAATCTTATATATAATTCTTTTAACTTTAGTATATAGTTAATAAGATATAATCAAACCTTCCCACATACAATTCAGAATTATCCTAATAACTCACCCTGTTCTTCTTCAGGTTAGAAAGTTCATCCACAACAATTTTTTGTTCTTTAATCTAATGAAATAAAGAAAAACTTCTTAAATCAGAGGCTAGCAAAGTATGCTTGATTGAGGGCCTTTTAAAATTAGAGAGATGGGATAAGGTGCTATAATTTACTGGTTGCCCAAATGGGCAGTCTGTGAATACAAAGATTCTTTTTGAACAGCAGTGTGTGGGGGTGCAGCTGGGGGAAAGGTGGAAAAGGAAACAGTGATTACACTTGACAGGTGTTAAAAAGCCCACTGAGCCCAGATAAGGGGTTTGGGGTTGGTAACCAGCATTCATGCAAAGGCCACAGTTACTAAACAAAGTCTGTGCCTTTTATTTAACATAGACAATATGCACCAAAAGTAGTATCAGTTTTCAATGATTTAAGTTATGTTTTGTTTTTTAATAGCACGTCATGAAATATCAATGCTTTTCATGATTTATGTACTGAATGGTGTAGCCACACGTTCAGAACAAGTAAGCAGTATAAATGCCCTACCTGGGGCAGTAAGGCATATTACTTTCCATCTTGGCTTTATTCCTCTTTACGTTTCAAAGAGTAGAATGGTGCTGGCACTGTTGAACTATACCTCACTTTTTATTAGTAGGATAGGGCACAAGGCACAACTAAGTAGAAGTGAAATTTCTAACTCTTTTCAGTAAAGGCAGTTACGGTGTGAACATGATATTGTGTCATCAGTACCTCTAAAAGTAGGATTTATAATCTCTGTCCTACCTCACACACCTCAGAGATCTGTCATACATCAGTATAAATGGCTTGCTATGGTAGTAATTGGAGTGGGCTATACGTGATTAGAAAATGCACTACCCATGGTGTGTACACTTCTGTCTCTCCAGTCAATGCAGTAATTGGCTAGATTTGAATTGAATTCCAAGACCAAATTTGTATAACCTCCTTCAGATCTGTGTTTGAACAGTGCATCCCCATTCATTTTAGAAATAGCAGGTATACATTTCACTTTACTTTAAACAAGGAAACTGATACAGAGGGATCAGAGACTTGCTTGAGATGTCACTGTTAGTTTGGGACAGAACTAAAGTAAAATCTAGGACATCTAATACTTGAAAGGCTATAACCATTCCCATCTCCAGTATATTTTGAAACGTTTTGTCTGTTTATGGCAGTTAAGATGTACATTGCTCCCTCCCCGCCCCCCCGCCCCGCGCCTTTTTGGATAGAACAGTGACAATCAGATACATATTTTAGGATCACTGCTCTGCCTAAAGTGGAGAACAGATTGGAAGAAGGTAAGGATGGATGAAGGAGTGACCAGTTAGGAAACTTATGCAGGGTTCCGGATGGTAGATGAAGATGGCTGGTTTAGGATGATGTGTGTACACTGTGACAACGGGATTTATCGAAATGAGCTTCAGAAGTAGAACTGGTAGGTCTTCGTGATGGACGTCAAGGATAGCTCCCAAGTTATTGGCATGGACAAGTGAATGGATGGTGGTGGCATTTTCTGAGTTGGGAAACACCACAATAGATCTGGAGTAGGAGGTACTTCTAACAGTTTAAAAAGAGTAGGGAGAAAAGATCCCAACCAAACTTCTGTCCCACTACCAGCTGGGTCTAATCTTGGGGTAAATTTCATGGTCTCCCTTTAACTCTAGCTGCCAAATGCTAAGACTAAAAGGAGCAAAGCAGCAGGGCAAAGCCTAGGCTGGGCCATGTGGCGCGGGGGACCTTCTTCGGTGAAGAGCGGAGCCAAGTCCGGACTTTCGCGCCTCGTCCCACACTCACCTTGCTGCTAAGATCCTGCTTGTGTAGCGTCGAGTGGTCTGCAGAGAACAGCCCGGCGCCGTCCTCGAGCCGCGACCCCCTGCTGGGCATCTCCACCGAGCGCGTTGAACTCAAATTGCACCAACCCTCACTTGCGCCCAGTACCTTCCAGTCCTCAGCCACAGCGCGTGCGCGCTCCCCGTGGCCCCACCCTCTCCCTTTCTCTTTCCCGTCAATCTTACCAATAGCGGCTGCGCATTCACTGGAACGCCTGCGCAATCGGATGTATTTTGGGAGAAGTTGTGCGCGTGCGCACAGATGCCTAGTGAGCGCGTGATCCTGGTTGTGAAATCAGAGAGGTTTCCGAATGGTCCCCTAGCGGATCCAACGTGGAAACGCTTTTGTGGTCTCCTTACTGCCTGGAATCCAGTGGATTGTGCGTTATATGCGCCCTCCAGTGGTAAATATAAAGAATAGAAGCGGGGTAAAAAATACCACTTAATTATCTAGGCAAGGAAGGATATGAAACTAGCCATTGATTTAAGAGATACATTGTTGGCAACGGAATTGTACAGACTTGTTAAAATTTTTGTTAACTTCTTATTAGGGCTAAAAGATAAAATACAGGATGTCCAGTTAAATATAAATTTCAGATAAAAGAATAAATTTTTAAGGTAAGTATGTTCCATGCAATATTTACAATATCTCACTCCTATGAGAAAAATTATCCAAACCTTGTAAACAAAGAGATTACTGGGTGTTGTTTTATTCCTTTTCTGGACCTTTCTATTGACTGGGCTATTTTACAATTCTGTAGGAGCAGAGGTTAACTTGTAGATTTTTGTGTGGTAGAGATGCAAATAATTTCTATCTGGTGGGCCAGATAATGCCACAGGTTGTGATTTATTGTTCAGTTTTGTATCTAACTCTGCAATTCTAATGATTTCTTTATTAGTATATACTTAGTTTCTCATAAACTGTTCGGTTTTGACATCTGTTCCTTCATTAATTAATGGATTGAATAAAACTTTGACATAGGTTCATCTTACACTTGTGTGTGAGAGATGTGATTTTGTGTATGCAATCCTGCCCTATACTTCAGCATAGGAACTCTTAAGGTTCCATGGAGATGCCAACTGATGTGTACTCAACCGATGGTGCCAAATTGTATGGCTAAGGAAGTGCACCTCAGGGTTGTTTAAGCCCAGGCATATATTTTATTGGCTTTTGGAGTAAATACAAAAGTGGTTATAGAAGTAAGTTTACTGTCTGTTTTTCCTTTTTTACTCATTTTTAAAAATTTTGTTTTTGTTTCTAATTTTGCATGCCTGATAAATTATTATACATTACTAGCAGCAATGATTGGAATTTGGTTTTATGGTATATCCATTTGATGATACCTATTGGATGATGGAGATCTAGTCTCTATTAGAAGAGAGATGAAAGAGAATCCAGTTTTTTTGGTCTTTTTGTTTGTCCTTTGTGAGCTCAAATTAATTAAGAACTTTGTGTCCACTGGGGGGAGAACTGATTTTTGAGTTCTGGGTCAGTGAATTTTTGTATTTCTGTTGTACTTTCAACCAGTGATTGAGATGTACAACTGAAGCTATGAGCTCTCTATGCGTCCATGTGACTATAATTTAAAATAGCCTTTATATGTTGCTGTCTGCGTGTAAAAGGTTTTCATACTTCTGGAGGGTATTAATAAATTCCATTATAATGTCTCTTAAATTAAAGAACTTCTGTTCTGATTGGTCTATAGACATAAATGTGCCCTTGCATAAATCCCCCGAATTAAAAAAAGCCCCAAATCTCTAATACTTAATATGTGCTGGACTTTTAAGGAACAAATTTCTTCTTACAAAAACTGCTGGCTTACATACAATTGAAGAATATAAATTTATATAATTAAGATGAGCCTTTGGAGAAATCAGGTTAGATTAATAATTTTGGTTTAAGAAAGAAAAAAACAGTTATTAAGTCTTTGCACTGATTTGTCAATGTTAAGTAAAATACAGATGTGTGTTTTTTTTAATGACATTTAGATTTGCCTTCTCATGAAGAGATTAGGTAATCCGAATTTCTTAAGCTTCTGATATTGGTTTACTGATTAAATAAGCTAGCATTACTGCTATAAAATAATGCAAGTTTATGAAAAATGTAAATTTCCGTCCACTAAAATGAAAAAATTATTCAGACAGACTTTTTATATCAACGGTAATTATGTTCCGTATCATGTAAGTTTATGCATAACTCCAAAATCCTTAGGTAACTTGAAATCCTGAGATAATAAATTGGGTTAATTAATGATTAGTCATTAGATCAGTAGATAATTTATTTTTAAAAGTTTAATACAGAAACACTGATTAATAGAAGCATAATTTTAATATTATATACTTTTGCTTCTTGTTTTTATATACTGTAGAATGGCTGTCCTTTGGGTCATTTTTTTTTAAGGTTTTATTATTTTTATTTTTTTTAAGATTTTGTTTGTATGACAGAGAGAGAGCGCACGCACAAGCACGGGGAGCAGCAGAGGGAGAAGCAGGCTCCCTGCTGAGCAGGAAGTCCGATGTGGGGTTCAATCCCAGGACCCTGAGATCATGACCTGAGCTGAAGGCAGACACTTAACCTACTCAGCCACCCAGGTGTCCCAACATTTAGGGTTTAATACAGTTGAGCTGATGGGAACCTAGGAACACACCTCTCCTGACACATGGGATATTATTTTAATTCTGGTAGGAACCTAGGAACTCACCTCTCCCGACACATGAGATGTTATTTTAATTCATGCTTGGAGGCAAAGTTGAGGCTTTTCTATTAAGCTGGAGACTGAGCTTCCCAGTATATTCCACCTTCTATGGCAGTGGCTGGCAGAGTGGGAGTTCTGGTTCAGGTTTGAGCTGACTCTTTGACCTACAATTGTTTCCATACTGAGTGGTCAGAGATACTGCTGGCCAGTCTACAGCTGCTTACCCCCTTTGGGTGGTGGGTTGTTGCTTATGGCTGTGCTTGGCTTGGATATTTTTTGTTTGTTTTTTTTAAAATTCCTGGGGGCCTCTTAAGATGACACACTACTAAACAAAGTAGTGATAGTCATATTTGTTTTCAAAGTTCTTTCACATTTTATCTTATTTTTCATATATATCCAATTGCTTCTATTTCCTCCCTCAACTGCTGTAAGTCCTACACTGCTTAAAGTTACATTTTGGGGTTACCTGGTATCATTTGTCTTGCCTGACTGGTTCAGGACTGACCATCTGCAGCTCACCATAAACTAGATAGGCTCTTCTTCCTTCTTTCAATTAAGTCCATTGCTGTCATGTATCCTACTTAGTAAGATAGTTTCATGTTTATTAATGCTATTATACTCTTCCTCTGATGCTACATTCTTAATATATTTCATTCTGTTTAACAATACATAATTTACTGTTGACCATTTTATAAAAGCATAAGGTATTATTACCCTGCCTTCCAAGGTTTTGAATGAGTAGTTCCACAACCACTGTCTTCCCTTGCTTTCTTGGTATATTGCAACACACAATTGTTTCTAACCACATAAGTCTCCTTTCTGTCTGTCCCAAATGAGGTGTGGAATAGTGCTGTGGTTCCCACATACCAGTTAGTAGGTGGGTGCCCTTCCAACTACGTAAAATCATCTGAAAACTTTGTTCATAGACATACAGAATTCTCAGTCCTTTCCCCAGATTTACTGGATCAAATCTTTGGGACTGGGATATGGCTATCTGCTGCATGACAGTGTTTACCATTTACCCTATAACCAAAATGCTGGGCTTGAATTTAGGCTTGTATTTATTAAATGTGTGACTTTGGGTAAGTCATTAACCTCTCAAGCCCCAGTTTCCTAATGTGTAGAATGGGAGTAATAATAGTGCCTAACTCAAAGGGTTGTTATGAAGATTGAATGAGTTAGTGTTTGTCAGGTGTTTATAATAGTTTCAGGCACATATTAAGCACTATCTAAGTGTGTGTTAAAAAGATAAGTTAGAAGTTCCCCCAGATGAATTTGACACAAGCAGTATTTATGAACCAATGGAACCAAAAGAGCAGGCTCCCAAATGCTTGGCCTGTTTCTCATTGAAGGTAATGTCCTCTCTTCTACTTCCAGTGATTCTCAACAGGGCTAAGGCTGAAGGCATTTATGGTTATCTTGGTGGTCACAATAAATGGATGGTTCTGTTAACTCTGATGAGGTAGGACTAATTGGAAGCCAATTAAAAGGAGACAGACTGAGCCACAGACTTTTAAGAAGCCTAGACAGCAGGCTAAAGGGTGGTCTTAGCAAGGAGACAATATTGGAAATTGCATGGGGTGGGATTTTGGCCAGACTCTAAATAACAAAGAGGTAAAATCAAGGGAGAGGTAGTATTGTAACCTAAGTAGGTGATTTGCATCAGGAATTCTGTCAGAATGTGACAAGGCCTGAAATAGTGGACTGGTGTTTATAAGCAGGGCTCTAGTATCTGGAAGGGGGACTACCGGGTCTTATCATACAGGCATTGGGGGGAGGAGACAGTGTCTTAGTAGAGAAGTACACCAGCCTAATCTTGGTCACTTAAGGGAAATGGCTGAGTCTCCAAGCACTGGGCTGGAGATGAGTAAACCCTTTCAGCTAGAGAGAAGATTGGTTCTGCAACTTAATTTCAGCTATGGAATGTGGAGATTGGGCACTCTTGGCTCCTACAGCCAGCATCACTTTGGGGCTCTTGTGCAGGACAGGGACTAGAGTAAGACAAGCGAGACACCTAGGGGCAAAATTTAAGGATGCATGCACTCTCAGGGTACTGCAGTGAGCGCCTTTTTAGATTTTCCACCCTAGGTATCTCATACACCTCATTCTAGGTGGGCCTGGCTCTTGTACCAACTGGATTGAACATTTCATTATTGGTGGTACCGTCTTACAATGTAGGGCTCAGTGTGGCTTGTGAATGACAGCAGTGGAAGATGCTTTTTATGGTACCCATGCATCTTTCCATCTCTGACAGTTAAGAAAAAGGTTGATTAAAATTATCTTAGCTTCTTCCATAACTTCTGTGATATGTTCACCTGATTCTCAAGACTAAGGATATGCTTAAAAAGTTTTGTTCTACATTATTGAAGAAG